CTAGGCTTTTAAATATACAAATAAATAGGAGTACAATCAACCAGTATAAGTAGGTAACATGAAAATTCACAAGACAGACAGCATCAATAACAAGACATCTGCAATGATTCTAATCACCTTTAAGAAATGTAATTATGAGCATCAGATGCTGACTAAAGGGATCCTCATTTTTAGCCTTGCAGACTCCAAGGCTGTCGTCTGTATTTTTTAACATGTAAAGTTACTGACCTAAAAAAGAATGCAGTTAGTAAACTCTGAATTCCCATTCTTCCAGGTCCGTGTCCTATTAAAGCGATACTAAAGCCTCTGTGACCAAGCCCCTATGGGAGGGGTGAAACACTTCAGAGGGCATGGCCGGAAATGAGAGACAGCTAAGGCCATCTATCATACACAAATTGTTTTCTGACTCCTGGGGATCGGTTTTTTTCACCCTTCACATTAGACCACCATATACTACAAATATCTGGAGTAACTTGGGACGCTGTTCCCTCTTTCTTTCTCTGCCAACAGGGTGATTGTCATTTGCATGCAGCCTTGAGCGGCGCCAAATACAACAAGCTCTTCAGTGGTTCTCAAATGAATACTAAAGGTTCTTTTTTTTTTTTGTAAAATAACAAACATATATATTCTTACCTGCAGTGTGCAGTGGTTTTGCACAGAGTGGCCTGGATCCTCTTCTTCTCTCTGGTCCTCCACAGACTTTCCCGGCTCCTCCTTTCTGTTGGATGCTCCCATAGCAAGCAGCTTGTTATGGGGGCATCCACTGCTCCGTGTGTCCATTCACACACCAATCTGCTGTTTGGCCCCGCCCCTTCTCTGTCCTCATTGGCTGAGTGGCTGTGATTGACATCAGCAGGAGCCAATGGCTCCCATATGTCTCAGCCAATGAGGAGGCGGAGACCCGGGATAGCCAAGGCTGTTGTGCACATCGCTGGATCGCGATGGGGCTCAGGTAATTATTGAGGGGGCTTGGGGCATTGCTGCACACAGAAAGTTTTTTTTTTTTTACCTCTATGCATAGAATGCATGGAGGAAAAAAACCTTCAACCTTTACAAGCACTTTAAGTGTTGAAGCATAAATGAGGGTGACAGCCTTGAAAACTAGTTCGCAATTGCTATTTCTATATAGTTAATATATTGACAGGTTCTCTTTAAGCATCCTTTCTTGTGCCAGTATTCCCTGTGAATAGCAATGGGAGTTAGATGTTAGATCACATGGGAAAGTCGTTTAAATCGGTGGGGTCATTAGGTTTAACCTTTGGTATTGTTGGCAGCTTCACTTAGAGATTCATGCCTGAAAATTGGAACAAAAAAACAAAGAGTAAGGATGAAGCAGTAGCCCAGAGGAGGAACCTCATTACTTCAAAGCTTTCAATCCAGTTGTAGTACATTAATGACTATTGATTATATGGACAAGTACATTGGATAATGTATTGGGCAAATCAGGTGATAACAGGGCTTACTCGCTAAATCCCATGACATTATTAAGCAAAGAAAAAGGGTTGGTTTTTTTATCCTGCACAATAAGACCTCATACACTCTGGACATTTCTAATGCTGCTGTTAGGGGCGTATGGCGTTTTTCTTTCCGCCTCTAAACACCCCTGCATATTAGCTTATGTTTCCATACACACATTTATTATTTATTTATTTATTACAGGTACTTATATAGCGCCGCCAATTTACGCAGTGCTTTACATATATATTGTACATTCACATCAGTCCCTAACCCTCAAGGGGCGTACAATCTAAGGTCCCTAACTCACATTCATACATACACATACTAGGGACAATTTAGACCAGAACAGGGGCGGACTGACCATTTGGAAACTCGGGCACTGCCCGAGGGCCCAGGGTCAGTAGGGGGCCCCGTGAGATGCCCCTGGTAACTTTTTCATAGGCTTTTTTGAGTTTGGGCAAGGACACAGGGGCCCCATGATCCCCTATTGCCCGGGGGCCCCATGAGTTGTCAGTCCGCCCTTGGACAGGAACCAATTCACCTATCAGCATTTCTTTGGAGTGTGGGAGGAAACCAGAGTACCCGGAGGAAACCCACGCAGGCACACATAGGCATTTAGAGGATTTTAGATGCAGGAGAGTTTAGAGGCAGAAAAAAAAAAACACTGCCAGTGCATCCAGGAGCAGCTGTGTTTTGGCATAAAAAAAGCGCTTGCCACTTGTAAATGCATGTAAACACGTCTAAACGCAAGTTAACCGCTAACCTTTAGCAGATATACTGCTACAGGGTGGCAGGGGTGCACAAAATCATGTATATATATACACGTGATTTTGCATTTCTGGGTAAGGGGCGCACATGAGGCAGTGATTTCTCGCCGGCGCCCGCTGTTTGGCAAACATCTCCGATGGAGAGGAGAACTGTTTGTAAACAAAACGGTTCTCCTCCCTGTCAGCTCGTGCACACTGGAACTCGCAATCGTACTGGGAACCTCAGCTACAATTTCCCAAGTAGTGCAGGGACTTCTTCCCTGCACGTCCCGGGGCATGGGAGTCCATTCAAATGAATAGGTTCTTGTGCCCGCGCAAGTCGTGGGTCGCACATATGTAAAAGCAAACAGCCTATTTGCCTTTAGTAAATCCTCTCCACTGTCTCCAAGTTCTCCTGCTGCCTGATACACTGGTACAACCCAAAACTCATCATCTGGGGAAACCATGCCTCACACATAAGCTGCCAGGCATCATCGAAAAAGTTTCAGCTTTCTAAGAAGGACAAAACCTACACAGCAGTTTCTCGGTGCTCTAGCAGCAGATTGGGGAAGGTAACTGTGCTTGCCATAAAGCATACTAGTTATTTTCCCTTCTTTGGGTAAAGTACATTTTAAACTTGTGTTGTCACTGTGTTCAACTTTAAAAAAATTTTTTTTTTTTTGCCTAAGTTTGCAGGCTTAAAAGCTCACGTATCTGTAATTAAATTTATTTATTCTGTCAATTGGTACATAACATGCCATTCCAATTTAAATTGGAAATATAAATAGTTAAGAAACTCCTACATCCCGTCCTAGCCTTCTAGTTGTTTGCCAAACACCCAAATTTAAGAGTGCAGTGGGCCAGCTAGTCATCAATAAAATATATGATAGTTGTAGAAGCTGTAGTGAATGTTTAGTTAACTAGCCTTCAAGTATCTCTCTATAAAGTATTTCCAGTTGTGCAGACAGCCAGCTACATTTGTATAATTCATTTTCAGGTAGCAGTCTTTTATGCTTCAAAAGTGTTTCTCAACTAATAAACAAGACTTGTATATGAGGACATAAATCATTAAGCTATTGCAGTCAACAGGATTCCAGCTTTCCATCTTAGTGAGAATGATGGCATATCATTTTATTGTACTCAATTATCCTAATGTGAAGATATTTTAATGACTTGCAGACTAACAAGAAGATCTCATCATCAGCGAAACCACATCTGTTCTGTTCCAAATCATGTGGCATGCATGCTTCCTCCTTCAATTACAAACATGATTGACAGAGATATATATGCAGTGTGTGTGCTGTTTTATTATAACTCAGAGAGTTTCTTAAACATTTTTGTGATATGCTGTGTGCAACACGAAATGTGCTAACTCAATCTATCATCATGCTGCTTAAAACTGAAATGCAGGATCCATATGAAAAGTTATACGGGAATGTTTTCTGAAAGCAATGGGCCTGTGTGCAAGATCATAGGTTGGGCCCTCCTGCCTGAGAAAAAGAAAGCGCAGCGTACACAGTATGGCACTGTACAAATTGACTTTTTGTGCAATTTTTATTTAGGACGTATTAGTCCTATTATGTTGAATACAATTTCCACTATTGTGCACGTTTGTTTTCATCACAATCCATATTGCACTCAGTTTGGTCTGGTTTCAGGCCTTTACATTTTTATGTATTATTTATGATGTGTTTACAGCTTCGTGCATTTATACTTTCATGCACCTTGTATGATTAGTTTTGCACATATTTTTGCCATTTGATTTTGGCACAGTTTTCTTTCCCTGGTGTTTTTTGTGCACTTTTATTTAGGACGTGTTAGTCCTATTATGTTGAATACATTATTTATATTCACATTGTATTTCATCACCATCTATATTGAACTTAGTTTGGTCTGGGTTCAGGCCTTTACATTTTTATGTATTATTTATGTTCACTTGCTGATTATTACTCACGTTGTCTTTGTCACGGTTCATATTGCACCTAATTAGGTCTGGATTCAGGCCTTTACACCTCTATTTTGGGGTTATTTTTTCTGTCTCCGCACTCTTCGAATTATTGTGTCCTTAGTACTATTGATATTAGGGCAACATCATTTTATTTGTTTTGTTTCACTGTATCCAGGGGCGGACTGACCATTTGGAAACTCGGGCACTGCCAGAGGGTCCGGGGTTAATAGGGTTAATTAATGGGGCATTTTTGCAATGTTTAGGCATCATGATGAAATAATGACTACAAATGATTGGGCTTTATAGTGACCAGTAATTATGAATGGAGAGTTTTTGTTTGTTTGTTTTTTTTGTTGCTCTAAAGTACTGTGCAGGGGCGGACTGACCATTTGAAAACTCAGGCACTGCTCGAGGGCCCGGGGTCAGTAGGGGGGCGCCCCATGAGATGCCTCTGGTACCTTTTTCATAGGCTTTTTTGAGTTTGGGCAAGGACACAGGGGCCCCATGATCCCCTATTGCCCGGGGGCCCCATGAGTTGTCAGTCCGCCCCTGACTGTACCAATTGGGTGTATTCTTCACTGGGCTGAATATTGGGCAAAGCTAAAAGGGACTCAGTGCAGGGAGTGCAGGGGGTTCAGTAGTAAGTGACACAAAGGTTCAGTAATACGTGATGTAGAGTTCAGAAGTAAGTAATGTAGAGTTCAGGGATCAAGAGTAAGTGATGTAGAGTTCAGGGGTCAGGAATAAGTGATGTAGAGTGCAGGAGTAAGGGCTCACGTACACTGCAGCTGATAAACTCACATTTAGGAACTGTTCAGCATTTTTTTTCAGCAGCCCCTGAACTCTTCCTATTGTTTTCCTATGTGTCCATGTACACATCGTCATTGACAGTCGTTTACAGGCAGTTGAGTTTACAGTTGTTTTTTTTGAACGCAGAAAACTTGCATTCAGGAGTAGATTTTATCAGCGTTTCCAATGCCAAGCACTTGTAAACGTGTGTAAACGTGGCTACATGTGGCTAACCGTGTTTATAAGCATTTTGCATTTGTAATTTTTTTTTAACTCTTCCATTTCCAGATGCTGTCCAGAGCCTTTTTTAATCATGAAAAATTAATGCAAAGCGTTTTCTCGGTACTCAAATGGACCTGGTACAGCATACTTTGAGGTTTTGTATGAAAGAAAATATGTTAGGCAATAATTTCTGCACAGAAATGAGCTGAAACAAATCTAAACACCACGAAAAAAAAAGACAGCTAATTTCAACAAATATTGCTCTCTCTGCTTCTGCTCTCTCTCTATTTCTCTCAAAATGTCTGAAATAGTTAATTTTTTTACTGTTTTCAGTGCATTCTGGGCATTTTGGAAGGTCTCCTGAGGTTATCTTTAAAAAAAGCTTCTAAACGCAAACGCTCATAAACGCGGTATGCAAACGTGGCTAAACAGACATGTTTTAACCTACGTTTTCCAGCAGTCAGTTTCCATCATTCAGAAGGGTCCCATGTACATGGAGCCTAAGTGTTGTAGAATTCAAGGGTCAGGTGTAAGTGATGTAGAGTTCAGGGTCAGGAGTAAGCAATGCAGAGTTCAAGGGTCAATAGCAAGTGATGCAGAGTTCAAGGGTCAATAGTAAGTGATGCAGAGTTCAGGGGTGAGGAGTATGTGACATAAAGTTCAGGGATCAGTAGTGAATGTTGCAGTGTTCCAGGGTAAGGAGTAAGTGATGCAGAGTTTAGTTGGTAGTAATAGGTGGCACAAAGTTCCAAGGTCAGTAGTAAGTGATGCAGAGTTCAGGGGTCAGTAATAAATTATGCAGAGTTCAGGGGTCATGAGTAAATGATGCAGAGTTCAGGGGTCAGGAATAAGTGACACGGAGTTCAGGGGTCAGGAATAAGTGCTGCAGAGTTCATAAGTCAGGAGTAAGTCTCCAATGGTAAAGTTGTCCGGAATAACTGACCCAGTGTTCCAGGGTAAGCAGTAAGTGATGCAGAGTTCAGTTGGTAGTAATAGGTGACACAAAGTTCCAAGGTCAGTAGTAGGTGATGATGCAAAGTTCAGGGGTCAGGAGTAAATGCCCCAGAGCTCAGGAGTCAGGAGTAAGTGCTGCATGGTTCAGCGGTCAGTAATAAGTGATGCAGACTTCAGGGGTCAGGAGTAAATTCCCAAGAACTCAAAGGTCAGGAGTAAGTGATGCATGGTTCAGCGGTCAGTAATAAGTGATGCGGACTTCAGGAGTCAGGAGTAAATAATGCAGAGTTCAGGGTTCAGTAGTAAATGATGCAGCGTTCAGGGGTCAGGAATAAGTGACACGGAGTTCAGGGGTCAGGAGTAAATGATGCAGTTCAGGGGTCAGGGTGTCAGGGGTCAGTAAATGATGATGCAGCGTTCAGGGGTCAGGAATAAGGAGTAAATGCTGACACAGCGGTGAGTAATAAGTTCAGGGGTCAGGAGTAAATGATGCAGAGTTCAGGGGGTCAGGCATAAGTGACACGTAAGTTCAGGGGTCAGGAGTAAATGGGGTCAGGAGTAAATGATGCAGAGTTCAGGGGTCAGGCATAAGTGACACGGAGTTCAGGGGTCAGGAGTAAATGATGCAGAGTTCAGGGGTCAGGAATAAGTGACACGGAGTTCAGGGGTCAGGAGTAAATGATGCAGAGTTCCGGGGTCAGGAATAAGTGACACGGAGTTCAGGGGTCAGGAGTAAATGATGCAGAGTTCAGGGGTCAGGAATAACTGACACCGAGTTCAGGGGTCAGGAATAAGTGCTGCAGAGTTCATAACTCAGGCGTAAGTCTCCCATGTCTTTTTTTCTCCCAAAATTGTTGTTTTATTTTTGTTTATAGCACAAAAAATAAAAAAACATAGTGGTGATCAAATGCCACCGAAAATAAAGCTCTATTTGTGGGAAAAAATGGATTTAAATTTAATTTGGGTGCAGCGTTGCATGACCGCGCAATTGTCAGTAAACCACTTCCCCTCCTGAGGATTTACCCCCTTCCTGACCATGCCATTTTTTACGTTACGGCATTGCGTTACTTTAACTGACAATTGCGCGGTCATGCAATGCTGCACCCAAATGAAATGTACCGGTATGTCCTTTTTTTTGTCCCACGAATTGAGCTTTCTTTCAGTGGTATTTGATTGCCTGTGCATTTTTTGTTTATTGCTCTATAACTGTCCAACAATTTTGGGAAAAAAAACAATATTTTTGACTTTTTGCTATTAAACATGTCCAGTAAAAAAATTTAAAACTCAAATTTCATCATAAATTTAGGCCAAAATGTATTCTGCTACATGTCTTTGCTAAAAAAAAAACCCAATACATGTAAATTAATTGGTTTACGTGACAGTTATAGCATTTACAACTGTGGTATATATACTGGAATTTTTTTTTTTTACTAGTAATGGCGGCGATCAATGACTTAGAGCGGTACTGCGAACTGCAGCGGGCATTTTGATACTGGGGGGAACTGACTTGGTGTCACTGACATCCCCAGTGACACCAATACAGTGATCAGTGCTAAAAAAAAGCACTAACACTGTACTAATGATACTGGGCAGGAAGGGGTTAATATGATGCAGTGACACGGAGTTCAGGGGTCAGGAATAAGGTTAACTGTGTGCTGGGAGTGTTTTACTTGGGGGGGGGGGCACATTGCTCTCAGCCATCCAGAGCAATGTGCCCGAGCGAATTGTGTATGGTGCGATTGGAGCCTTATATTTTGTATGGCTCCAAACGCACCGCATCCGCAGCAAGTAGGTTCAGGACCCTTTTTTTGGTCCACACTAGAATCAGATCACATGGGTCTGCACATCGCATCGTGTTTTGCCGACTGATTTTGGGGTCTTGTTGACTTAACACTCACCTGCAGCGGTGTGCATGAACAGGGGGTGATTGTGATGCGGTGTGGAATTTGCACAGAAAACGTTGCAATTCCTCACCGAATCAGTGTGAACCCAGCCTCACAGTAGAGATAAGACATATAAAGTTATGTAATTCCACTAACCAATAATGGCCAGCTTTCCAATAGAGATGACATAAATTTTACCTTGCTACAAGTAAAGTCTCATACTGAATAATACGAATAATGGGGACACACCACCTTATTTATGGTCTGTGCTGACTCTTTCAGCTGCTCCATTAGTGTTAGGGAAAGCACAGGCTGAGACCCGTGATCAGGGACCTGTCCCTCTCTATGGGTAGCTATCTAGGTATCTGTGAAACAGCACACCATGATTATGATACTTAATTCTACATTAGATATGGGGTGGAGACCAATTGTAATGACCATATTACAGGAATTAAAATGTCTAATACAAGAACTTTAACCACTTCCAGTCCAGACACTTTTACACCCTTCCAATTTTCAGCTTTCAGTGCTATCACACTTTGAATGACAATTGCGCGGTCATGCAACACTGTACCCATATGAATTTTTTAGCATTTTATTGAGACAGATAAAGCTTTATTTTGGTGGTATTTATTCACCACTGGGATTTTTATTTTTTTTTGCTATGTAAATTAAAATGTCCAAAAATTTTGAAAAAAAGTGTTTTTCTTATAAAAATGTTGCAAATAAATAGTATTTCATCATAAATCTTGGCAAAAATGTATTCTGTTATATTTTTAGTAAAAAAAAAAAATAACCCAATAGTTTATACCCACAAATTATAATTTGTAAACATTTTCTTTTACATTTTTTTTTTTATTTTTTTATAATATTTTTTATTTATCTTTTTTTTTTTTTTACATACTGTCACCCTAGCAGTACAGTGTCACCATGGTGACACTGTACTACTTGTGGGGGGTGATGAAGATTTTTTTTTTTTGCACTGATTGTTTTTACACCCATAAAGGATGTAAAAGCAATCATTTCTCCTTCTCTCTAGCTGCATTCATTGAGAACTACTGAGTGAGCTGTGATTGGTCACAGCTTGTCACATGGTACAAGGCTGTTGTGAATAGCCTTGTACCATGTGACCTCTGTGATCATTCACAGATTTCACACATAGTAAGGAATGATGTCAAATGTGACATCTTGCTTACTACTCTGCATGTGATCACTGATTGGCCAATCAGTGATCACATGATAGGGACCTCGTACAGAGGTTCCATCTGACGATCGGTATTTCACTGTGTCCGTAGGTCACAGCGGGCACCGGATCGCGGTGCTGAGTGCTCCCAGGGAGCGCACACAAGCAGGGAGCGGGGAGGCCGTTTATAAACAGCAACCCGACCCTGCACTGCCACCGTCCAGCCGTTTATATACAACGGCCAGACAGGAGGTGCTTAAATTGGGAAGGAGATTTGTTAGGCAGCAGAGTAACATGTTGCCTTGCTGTAACTATGTGATTGTTCATTAAAAATGTTGGTGACATTCTCCCATGTTGCAAATCTAGGGACAGCTTCAAACACACAACATAGGACTTCAATGAGCTCACTTCAAAAATAACATAAAATTGAGGCAATCCTTTAACCACTTCAAGTCCGGACACTTTTATCCCCTTCCAGTCCAGGCCAATTTTCAGCTTTCAGTGCCATCACACTTTGAATGACAATTGCGCGGTCATGCAACACTTTACCCATATGAATTTTTTAGTATTTTTTTGAGACAGATAGATATAAGTTTATTTTGGTGGTATTTATTCACCACTGGGATGTTTATTTTTTTTTGCTATGTAAATGAAAAAGTCCGAAAAATTTTGAAAAACAGTGTTTTTCTTATAAAAATTTTGCAAATAAATAATCTCTCTTCATAAATCGTGGCCAAAATGTATTCAGTTATATTTTTAGCAAAAAAACCAAAACAAATTAGTTTATAACCAAAACATTTTTTTTACATTTTTATTTTTTTTTTATATTATTATTTATGGTTTTTTTTAACATACTGTCACCCTAGCATCAGTCTCACCATAGTGACACTATACTACTTGTGGGGGGTGATGGAGATGTTTTTTTTTACACTGATTGCTTTTACACCCATAAAGGCTATAAAAGCAATAATTTCTCCTTCACTCTGGCTGCATTCTTGCAGCCATTGAGAAATACTGTGTGAGCTGTGATTGGTCACAGCTTGTCACATGGTACAGTGACATCTTGGCCAATTAGTGATCACATGATCGGGATCTCACACAGAGGTCCAGAGGTCCCGTACAACGATCGGTGTTCCACTGTGTCCAGAGGACACAGCGGGCACTGGATCGAGGTGCTGCATGCTCCATGTGAGCACGCACAAGCAGGGAAGCGGGGAGGTCATTTATAAACAGCCACCCGCCCCTACACTGCTCCCGTCTGGACGTTTATATACATGGGCCGGACTGGAAGTGGTTAATGGGGCATTTTTGCAATGTTTAGGCATCATGATGAAATAATGACCACAATGATTGGGCTTTATAGTGACCAGTAATTATGAATGGAGAGTTGCAGCATTGTTTGTTTGTTTTTTTTGTTGCTCTAAAGTACTGTGCAGGGGCGGACTGACCATTTGAAAACTCAGGCACTGCCCGAGGGCCCGGGGTCAGTAGGGGGCCCCATGAGATGCCTCCTGATACCTTTTTCATAGGCTTTTTTGAGTTTGGACAAGAACACAGGGGCCCCATGATCCCCTATTGCCCGGGGGCCCCATGAGTTGTCAGTCCGCCCCTGCAGGGGCCCCATGATCCCCTATTGCCCGGGGGCCCCATGAATTGTCAGTCTGCCCCTGGTACCGTGACTTCAAAGAGAAGTATAAAGTGTGAATTAACTTATTGTTTCTTGCCACTTTCTAATGATTTTCTTCGAGCTTCCTTTTTTTTCCAGAATTATGGGGTTTACTGTTAAGAAATGTAATGTGCAATTCCAATCAACAGTTGAAGCACCTTGCAGGTTGTAGTAGACCTTTTCAAGATTCAAAATAGAAATTAAGAGAGGTAACCTTTGGAGAAGAATGTTTCAAGGATGCATTCTTAATGAAAATGGTAATTGTTCAGCCGTATTTCTATTTCCCTTACTGCTATACACAGTCCTCCTTCTGAAAAGCAAGGAGAACCTAATTAAAAAATAGAAATTCCCTCAGCTGCAGAGCAAATTCAAATTCATTTCCAAAGTGACTACTCCCGTTACAGAACGCAGTCACTGCAATCATAGATTCCCACAAGATCTCTAGAAGCACCTCCTAAGTCTTTCTTGTCTCTAATAAAGATGATTGGAGTGGGGGGATGAGGCAAAAAAGCCGGAAATTTACAAATGGAAAACCAAGCTTTGCTTTCAGTAGGTAGTAAAAGAAAAGCCCATTTTAAGTACAGTTTTATGTACAATTTTTTTCTTATGCCCTCCATTGTTTCTCCATCTTAATTGCTTTTTTTAAAATTATTTACTCAAGTACAATAGATAGAGCTTTGTACTATATTGAAGCTTTTTAAATGGAATGTCTGTTATGGGCATTTAATCTCATTCTAGTATGCAGGCAGCTATAAAAATGAAAAGTAATGCATTTAACAGAAAAGATTTTTGAATACATTAAAAGTATGCAGCCTTACTACATGTTTAGCAGAGGACAGATAAATAAAGCTGAACTCCAAGCAGTTAACTAAACAGTTGAAATACACATATAGCTATTTTTCCTGTGAATCTCACTTTTAGGCTGGGTTCAGACCAGGGGCGGACTGACAACTCATGGGGCCCCCGGGCAAAAGGGGATCATGGGGCCCCTGAGTCCTTGCCCAAACTCAAAAAAGCCTGTGAAAAAGGTACCCGGGGCATCTCATGGGGTCCCTTCTGGGACCCCGGGGAATAGGGGACCATGGGGTCCCTGTGTCCTTGCCCAAACTCAAAAAGCCTATGAAAAAGGTACCAGGGGCATCTCATGGGGCCCCTACTGACCCCGGGCCCTCGGGCAGTGCCCGAGTTTCCAAATGGTCAGTCCGCCCCTGGTTCAGACTGATATGGTGCGGAATTCACTGTTTTTTCTGTGCAAATTCCGCACCGCATCAGAATTGCACCCCGTTCATGTGAACTGATGCGGGTGTGTGTATGATAAGTTAACAACACCCCGAAATCTGTCCGCAAAATGTGGTGCGATGTGCAGAATAAGATCGCATAGGTGAGAATACCCATGCGATCTGATTCTAGTGCGGACCCAAAAAAAGGTCATGCACCTTTTTGGTGTGAGTGCGGTGCGATTTGAGCCATACAAAATGTATGGCTCCAATCGCATCGTACACAAATTGCATGTGATTTGCACAGGAATTCTGTGCGGTTCCTGTGCAAATCACATACAATGTGCCGCACCGCATTAGTGTGAACCTAGCCTGAGAACTGCACAGTCATGCCCGATGGAAGAGTCAGGTTTATGCAGTTAGCAGCTTCCCTCCCATCCCTGGCCTTCCTTTAACCACTTGCCCTCCAGAGGATTTACCCCCCTTCCTGACCAGGCCATTTTTTGCGATATCACACTGCGTTATGGTCATGCAACGTTGTATATAAATGAAATTTATGTCCTTTTTTTCCCCACAAATAGAGCTTTCTTTTGTTGTTATTTGATCACCAGTGAGTTTTTTTTTTTGTTGCACTTTAAACAAACAAATACATACAATTTTGAAAAAAAAACAATGTTTTTGACTTTTTGCTATAAAAACATATCCAGTAAAAAAAAAATTTTAAATAAAATTTCTTCATAAATTTAGGCCAAAATGTATTCTGCCACATGTCTAAAAAAAATCCAAATACATGTAAATTAATTGGTTTAAAGTTTTAGCATCTACAAATGGCGATATATATATATACTGGAATTTGTATTTGTTTATTTTTACTAGTAATGGTGGTGATCAGCGACTTATATAGCGGGACTGCGGGACTGCAGCGAGCATTCTGACACTGAGGGGGAACTCAATAACTGCCAATGACATCCCCACTGACACTAATACAGTGATCAATGCTAATAAAAAGCACTGACACTATACTAATGACACTGGGCAGGAAGGGGTTAACATGAGGGGCGATCAAAGGGTTAACAGTGCACTGTGTTGTGGTGTACTATGTGTGCTATGTGTGATTTACTAGGGAGACAAGCTGTTTTGTATTGCTCTGCTGTGCAGAGCAATACAAAGCAGCCTGTTCATGCTGACAGGGGAGAGATCAGTATTGTTTACATACAGACCTCTCCCCAATCAGCTCTGCCGATGATCACCGAGCATCCGGGACCCGGTTATTGACATACCAAGGAGCCAATAGCAGCACAGGTATGGAGCTCATGAGCGCCCCCTACCGGGAAAAACAAAATCATATATATATATATATATATATATATATATATATACGTACTTTTGCGTAGTCCTGCAGCCCTGTAGCAGTACTTCTGCTATAGGGCAGTAGTGAATTGGTTAATAGGGTCTGCATGCCCAGGTGGAGGGGAAAGGTCAGCTGATCATAAGACCACTGTGATTGGTTGTCGCAGTGGTCACATGATTAGAAGTCAGCAGGACCAGCTCCTGATCATTAGTATGGACTGAGAGCTGTCTGCGCACCCCCAGCACAGACAACTCTGTCACCCATGGATGCATATGTGCAGTGTGTGGGCGTGAAGTCCACCCTTTTTGCTGCTGCACATATGCATTCCGTTGATGGCAAGAGGTGAAGTAATACAATTTATAACTCATTTACACTACAGTCCCTGTGTTAAGTGTGCATTTTTATTAACATATAAAAAAAAAAGTAATTTTAACATATATTTTTACATATATTTGTAAATACATTTCAAAAATGTAGATTTGTGTTTTTAAAGACATACAGTATATTGGAAATGTATTTTTAACAATATTTTTCATATATTTTGTAATAAAAACGCATTTTAACATACTATATATATATAGTGACAGTGCGGTAGCCTGCCACAGTGAAAATCACGGTGATAATCCAGGATTCTCAACCATACAGGTTGAGGGGATCCAGGCAGTTCTCTTAATGCAGAGGAAACTGGTTTATCAGTTTTCGATTTGGTTTGTAAAGCCCGTTTTGGGACCTGTGGCCTGGAGATTTCTAAGTGATTTGGAAGGGATGAAATCTTCAATCCTGGGACCATGTTTTGAAAGCAGCCAGCACACTGATTGCACAGGTGTATGCAGGCCTTTGTGTAGAGGCCTAACGAGCAGGGGTGAACTGACAACTCATGGGGCCCCCAGGCAATAGGGGATCATGGGGCCCCTGTGTCCTTGCCCAAACTCAAAAAAGCCTATGAAAAAGGTACCAGGGGCATCTCATGGGGCCCCCTACTGACCCCGGGCCCTCGGGCAGTGCCCGAGTTTCCAAATGGTCAGTCTGCCCCTGCTAACCAGGGTTCTGGGCTCCACCCTGGCAGACAGGAGGTCATTGCCCAGAAGTCAGGAGGGCTCCACCTAGGAGAGGTGAAAGCCAGAGCAGCAAGGGGCTGCAAGCTGTGTGCAAGTGGCTGATAGCTGTGTGCAAAAAGCCATATTTTGGAAGGAGGCTCTGTGCATACAAAGAGTCCAACGCTGTGTGCTGGGACCAGCCAGTGGTCTGGGAGACCCATTTAAATAGAGGTACTGCTAACCAGCAGGGCTGATAAAGCGAGCCAGGAGGCTGAATATTTTTGTTTGTATTGATGGTGTATACCCCTGTGTGGGAAACCTGTTATGGGGAACTTTCTTTTAAATAAAATTGGGCAAAAAAAGGCCCTTAAAAAAGAAGCAAGTGAGTGACTGTGCTTACAATGCTCTACCCTTGATGCTAGTTCTCGCTATATATATATATATATATATATATATATTATATATATATATATATATATATTGAATATGGCCAAAATTGTATTATTTCAAATATATGTCAATATATTTGGGGAAAAATATTTTTAAAAATATATTTCAAATATATTTTTCTTCCATATGAGTGTGTTTGAGGTTGCAGTGTTTTTTTGGCATTTATATATTTTTTTACTGAGGCACATTTACATTTGTGGTGCATTCATATATGTTCTTGTCCATTCATTTACATTCCAAGGCATTTACATATTAAAAAAGCAGCATGTTTTTAAATGCATATGAAAGCACCATAATGGTGTAAAATTAGGCTCATTGAAATACATACATTTTTCTTTTATATGCATTTGAACTGCGTTTAAAAATGCATTTGACTGCATATGGTATAAACAGATGTCCCTGTCAACAGTCTATGATTGGACTATGAAGGAGGATCAGCACTGATGAGGTCATCCATCTCTCCATTTTCCTGCAGTCAGCACTGTCTGGTTTTGAGTTCTACTGTACAGGGATAACAAGTACAGGCCGATACAAAATTCTAATTATTACAATAATTACATTAAAATACA